CAACTTACATCACAATATCAAAATCACACATCTAATTATTTATCAATTACATAAACATTACATCATTAATTATTTAATTAACCAAAAAAATTACATCTTTATTAATAACAAATTAATTCGTAAATAAAACTATTAAATATAAACTACGCAAACGTGCATTGCACGTTGTTTGCACCTAGTATGTAAATAAATTACGTACAGATAGCACAACCGTTACAGAATTAGCTTATCGACTCCGTAAATTGAACATATTCTATGGCGATAACATATAAACTTTAAATTTATTGAAAATTAAAGTTAATTTGTTATTGTATCACTGCCAATTTCATTACAATTGTATTAATTGCCAATAATTTTGAAATTCCAAGGGTCATTTCCATTATGGGCCCACCTAATTTTATCCTCTAATATGCAAGTTATATTACCCAAATTTCCTGCCTATAATGATAATGATATTGAAGAAACTAATCATTTTAATAATCCTATTTGAGTCAACTCAAATTACAAAATTTCGACTATGAAAATAGTGAATAATTTCATACAAATAACGTATTTTTTAGTAGGAGATGAAGTCATGATGGGATAAAATTTTGTTTTCCATGAAAATAATACATAGAAAGATTTTCATAACATTTTTTACTAGCCGAGAGAGCCTAGGGTTGCCTCCTATCTCCGACCATGTATATGTACTCAGGATCATAATCAATATACATGAGAATCTTGATAGAAACAAGCGTGTTCTTTATTCCTTTAAAAATTGTATAACGATGTGATTCTTTTTCTCTTGTCAAAAAGGATATGTTTATACATTTTAAGTGTCGTGTTTTACATTCTTTAGAACATAATGAGTCACTATACTCATAAGCATATATAAACATGTGGAATTGATCAGCTAAGCATCGATGATTAGATAATGCTAAGTATCGATGATGTGTCATACTGTCACACTACAATAATTGGTGTAATCGATCATTATTATCTCCCATCACAAATTAGCTAAGGTGCTCAAAAGATTAGTCCCAAATTTATGCTTAGATAAATTGCTCTCTCTCTCTTTATTAGTAAAAAAAACTTATCTAACAATGAAGTTGAGCTTAATTTCATGAAC